CTCAATTCGCCTTGGTTGTGCATTAAGTGTGTGTGTGTTGTGTGGTTGTTTTGTGCATAGCAGAGCAAGTCATATTTCATAGGCATAGCCAGAGGCACATTTCAACGCCAACGCCTCGGACATCGCCTACATGATATTGATTCATCCCCCAGCAGCGACAACGAGAATACCCCCCCCAGAGCTGCCAGAGCTCCATACCCCAGCTCCCAAGTCACAATGGACGACCCTCAGGACACAGATAATTGAGAAGGATGCTGAAATTACTGCCCTAGAAGCTAGCATTTCCGCATTCCGAGTAGATCTCATCCAGCAGGAAAGAACTCATGAAGAATCCATTGAAGCTCTCGGCGTCGACTATAACAAGCTTCTCAGCTGATCTCACTTTATCCACCTCTCACATCAATTCTCGCGACACGATAATCATCACTCTTCAATCCTCCATCCGAGAGAAACAAACTTCATTAACTGTAATCTGAAAAATACTTTGGGCAGCTCAGAAACAGACAAATCGGGCTAAGATGTCGTTGAAGGAGACACAGAAAGCATATCGGGACTTGAAGACTTGGAACCCAACTGAGAAGGGGCAGTACATGGCAGCATCACGTGAGCTGGCTCGTGATCTCACATATGCGGGATGCTCAGCTGGAAAGGTCAAATTTGTGGTCAAGAGTTGTGCTCAAACCGGGATCAAAATACGGTGCCGGTTTATGAGTCTGCGAACTGTCGGCCGCGCAATCGACGAGGGGGGGAAATACGATGAGATTCAATTAAGATAGGCGCAAGTCACTCTCTACAAGGCTCACGTGATCGTTACATGTCACGCGTAACGCGGCAAAAATCACGATCCTTCGAGGTAATATGCCGGAATTCACTCAATTTTAATGTTTCTGGGGTTGAAAATTTTTGGGGGTTTATTATGTCATGGAGGGAAATATATTTAGGCTCCCAGGCAAGCTTCAAAACCAGTAGAAACTACCGCGGTGATCAGGCAATGAGTATTTGAGAAGTCACTGGCTGAATAATGGGTAGATGTGTTATATGTAAGAGTGTTTGTCCTGGGCGGCGCTACCATATATGGGCCGTGAGAACATTACATAAGCAGCAAATTTTTGGTTGTCTGCAACTTAAACCACACCCAAACGTGAAAACAATCATTTCTACACTCAAAAAAAAATGAGCCAATAAAATCTTATACTGCTTCATCAATAATAGATATTTTTAAATTCTGAGACCAGGGATCTCTTCAAAAGACTCAAATACACTGTTTCTCGGTTCTACTTTGTGACCCAATGTTTTGTGGCTGGAGCCTTGTCGATGTCACAGTTTGATCACGTGAGCCTCGTAGAGAGTGACTTGCACCTATCTTAGGAAGAGAAATTATGGAGGCATCGGGTGTGTTTTTTGTTCCTTTTGGCACGAATTGACAACTCTGATGCTGTCTAGGTTTCGTTGAGAGCTCTGATGGCACAACTCACCACGGAGTAACGGTCGAATCTCGCCATATCACCCTGCTCGTCTCTTCGTATGCTCCTGGCGTCGACAATTCGGATATATCAACGTGGAAGCACCAGACGCGGTTCGTCGAGGTCGCACCTGCTCTGGACCATACTGGACAGCACCAATTCGAGAATTCGAGGGTACAATGGAAGCTGCCGGCCAGATAGCTGACACTTATAGCCGCAGTCCCGTCGCAGCGCAAGATAAACGGATCATGGACAAAAATGATTATTGGCGAAAGAAAATGGGAGAATGTAAAGACCACGCCGCAGATGGCAAGAAGGAGTTCAAGTTCTCTGCTGCCCACAAGAAGGAGATCATAATCCAAGATCTGGGCCATGCTTCGATGGACGAAGCCGATGTGGACACCGGGCTTATTCTCCTCACTGTACTTGGTATCACCGATGCTGAACTGCAGGCAGCGGGAAAGATCTCGGCAGCAGAACTAGCGGCCCTGTAAGTTGTGCGGCGCATACATATCATAGTTTGCTAATTATATGTATAGATCAATTGAAGAACGGACCCCTCTCGTTGAACAAGTCTTGGAACACAAAATTGGCGAGGAAAAGTTCAACACATTGACACCTGCACAACAAAGCAATTCGTGTACGCACACCTTTGGCGGGTGCTGCTGTCACAAGGACCTCAACGTTGTCGGCTATGGCTATGATTCTGTGCAAAATGTCTATTCCACACACCCAAATATCCCTCCCCCTGTTCTCTTAGCCAACAAAGCTCATACAGCGACGATAAATCTCTCTGAGGACCCCTCTAGCGCTGCTCTCCAGAATGCTATTGACTCCAGCAGCGCCGGCACCATAAAGCTTCTCCAATTAATCGGTGCTCTACTGCGGCACAAAGACGGGGAACGTGGTTATCAGGACAGATGCACCTTTTTTATGCAGGAACGCAAAATGGAACTATACAATCTTGACGAGCCTAGAAGATTCCCCGACATCTCAAACGTGAGGTACAGGTGCTACACCTACGCTGCAGCCGAGGTGGTCTGTTTCCATGGCCTGATTCAGGAACTTGTTACCGAAATCATTGATGACAAGACCAAGTCCGGGCAGCCGAACCACGTCGAGCACAATATCCTAAAGGGTTTAAACTGTGTAGCAACCATGACTGAAATGGTTGCTCTCTCACTGTACAGGGTCTCGGTTTCCTGGCCGTACATGGCCATGGTTCGTGGTATGAAAGAACAGCCAATCAACCTATTATCTCTGACCGACCTTCACCGGAAACTTCCAGTGTTCTGCGCCTACATCTCCGCAAATCCCCATATACTACTTGACCCCAGCACTCCTCCCGAAAAGCTCACCATCGACGGCCGGCCCTTCCTTGATGATCTCTTACTCCCTTCAATTCGGCAACTCCTTCGGGAACTTCCTAATGTCTTCCTAATGATCTCCAACATGTTCTCGGGCTGTGAAACCGGCTGGATTCAATTCACCCCCTAATTCCAAGTTGGTGGGACCTTTGATTGCCTTACTCCCGAACAGCGCGCTATTTTATTCATCCCATCAACCAACAACGCAAATGAGGGTATGCTCGGCTCATACAGGGTCCACATGCGGTACCATCCAAACAGTACTGCCCGTTCATTCTGCAATCAAACTCGCACGGAGCGGAACAACATGGAGGCTTTTATCAAAAAAATTTGCGACAATGCGGTGCTTAAATGGGTGATAAGGGAAGTGCGAAAAGACGGTGCGAGCACTACACGGGCTAAATTCCGGAAAGCTTGGGCAAACCTCCAATGGGAGAAGGCACAAAACGCGCTCAAAAGACGAAATAAAACCGCTTCAAGAAAGAAAGCGACGGAGCTCCGATTAGCCGCGAAAAACCTCGAGTTCGATATCTCCATGTCTTCACCGCTGCTTAAAGACCAGTTGCATGTCTACCGCAACATATTGAAGGACGATATCCTTTTGAAAAAGCTCTGGAAGGAGATGGGAGCAGTGGCGGTACAGCGAAACCTGGTACTGGAAGCTCGGGAGCAGGAACTTGCGAGGCGGTAAAGTGGCTTGAATAATTCAATTTACAAGCTCATCCAACTCCATTTAGTGCATTAATCGGACCCCAACCTCAAGAACGTGTCACTGGTACTCCACCGCCCGCAATTGTCGACGAGTACGGCTATTCGCTAGGCGAGGACGAAGAATGGGAGGATATATGATTTATTTACCCACAGATTTATTTATTTTTGTGGGGCCACACAGATAGTGGTATTACAAGTACTTTAAGTTGATAAATAAAGGCGATAAAATGCTTGTGGAAGGCGGGACACGACGGAACATGCATTTTTATCGGCTGGTGGGGCACAAACAGAGCCAAACAAGCCGGATCGATCATGAGCAGTGCCGGTCCCCACAAGCTAGTACTTGCAGTTTTGGCAGTAAAATGGTAAGTAGGAGCCGAGTAGGAGAACAAGTAGGAATGTCAGTAGGAGTAACTTTGAACGACACTAATGAAACTGTGACAAGGCCAAGAACTGGAGATAATTCTGTTGTTGTTGTTGTTGTACAATGTTGGCAGGTGGGTGTGGTCGTGGTGCAGCAAGAAGATAAACATATAGAGCAGAAGAAGCCTGTCCAGGCCATTGTGTGTGTGATTCCCTGCTGTGGGGAAGGTGACCAGGACCCCGGTCGCCACACCTATGATATACTGACTGTCGTGGGTCAGACTTGAATATCCAACCATGAAATACTGTTTTTTTTTTTTTTTTTCATTCAATTTGACAGTCACACATCACAGGGGGGGTTGTCGAATCCAAACTTTGGTTCGTTGTCACAGGTCATAGCGGGGTTGTTGAATTGGTCAGACGGTACAGAAATTTGTACAAAGTGTGTTTTGAGACCCAAAAAATCTCTCCTGCATCCCCTGCATCAATATTGGCCATAGCTGCATATGAGGCAAATATCAGGCTGAACTCAGTAAAGTCACTGGGCAAAAAAAATAATTAAAACATGAATCTGCCTGGCTCTCCCTGCTTCCAGAAAAAAGCCCTAGTTGACTATATGATGTTTTGCATCCTTTTGGGATGGTGTCGAAATTTTGGGGGGTGTCACGGTCCAACCTGAGCCGTGTCGAAGTGTCGAATATGTTCCAGGTGTCACGCGTCACACCCCCTGTCGAATTGAACAAAAAAATACAGTAGTCTAACTGCTTCGAAATTGAGTTCCTGTGGAGCTTATTACGTCGATCTCAACGAATTCGGGAATACCATTGCTGTCCGTTCATCGACTGATGTGCACTGCCATCATATGTAGAAGTTGCCTTTCCTGGATTCAATTCAACCTCGACCCGTACCGCATGTCGTTGCCAATGGTTCAACTTGAATTCACGTCCATTTCAGTAGGTTCTACATAATGACTGTGGGGCTCCAGGACATAGATGTGCACCTCCCTGACAGAGCATTATCATCTCTCAAGCCAGTTTTGATGTACGCACCATTGTTTTGCCAGTTATAAAAAAAAAAGCTCAGTGTCACATACAAATGGCTCAGGCCCGGATCGAACGGGCTTCTCCTGCTTTGAGCTTCCTCGCTGCGGCATTGAAAGCAGACGTGGTACCATCCACCACCGAGCCTTCCTCGCTTTGGATACACACTTGATTGGTATCAATTCCCTTTTGCGTTGTGGTTCAGAAAAGAAGGAGAGAAAAATTGCTGTGATCGTCCCTTCCTCGAACCGGATGAGCGCAGTGGAATTTCCCAAAGGCCGTTGATGACAAATTTCTCAGACGGCAGCTAAAAAAGAAAAAACTCGCTTGGTTCAGGGAAATTAGAATGGCCCAGGCCCGACTCGGACGGGCTCCTCCTGCGTCTATGCGAAGCTGGTCCAAGAAATGCAGGTGTGGACCGTCCACCACCGAGCCTTCCTTGCTTTGGATACACGCTTGATTGGTGTGAATATTCTTGAGTTGTGGTTCATAAAAAAGAAGGAAGAGAGAAACATTGCTGTGATTGTTGTGATCTAGGTAGAGCCCTCACTCGAACCGGTGGACTTGCATCGCCGGTATGCGTAGGCGGCAGCTAAAAAAACATGCCCTTCTGATGAATGGCTCGGACCCGAATTGAACAGGTTCCTCCTGCGTAAACCCGCAGCTTCAATTTTTGAGGAATGCAGGTGTGGACCATCTACCACCGAGCCTTCCTTGCTTTGGATACAAGCTTGATTGGTGTAGATACCAATTTCCGTTTGAGTTGTGATTCATAAAAGAAGAACCGTGAGTGTTGTGAGCACTCACTCGAACCAGATGAGCACGGCGGAATTGCCCCACGACAACATGCCTGGTTTAAACTGCGCAGGTGGCAGCTAAAAAAGAAAAGGAGAAACCCGCTCCGCTCAGCGGCCCAGGCCCGAATCGAACGGGCTCCTCCTGCGTAAGCACAGGCAGGTGTGGGCCATCCACCACCGAGCCTTCCTTGCTTTGGATGCAACCTTGATTAGTTTAGATACTAATTCCCTTTTGAGTTTTGGTTCATAAAACTAATAAAAAGAAACGAAGAATCACAGCGATTTTGTGAGCGCTCGCTAGAACCGAGCATGGTGGGATTCCATTGCGACCTACCAGATCTTATGGTGGAGATTCTGTAGCACGAGGAACTGGCTGTGGTATTATAATGTATTGTACATGGGCGAGAAAGAGAGAGAATGCTGACATTTAATCCATCAACACTTGCCCGAAAATGGTTGTATTCCGTGCCGTACAGTATTTAACGAGCCCGATGCCGTTCCCAGCAAGCTGCCAGTAATGATGAGCTCAGTGCCGGCATTCTATGCAATGATCCTTGCGTTCCGGAGGTGTCAAACTAAATCCAGCGGAAAGGTTAACAGCAAAATTGACCCGCATGAACCACGCGACACTGGGTCTGGACACGAGTTGGTTATTTATTGGTCTGAGTCCGAGGTTATTGAATTTGGGGACGTCTGGTGAAATAGGCAGAGGGTGTCCGGGGATTTTGAGTTGGATTGCGGGTGCTGAGATGGAACATTTCAAACAAAACCAATGTGCAAAGTCATTATTCGGTTTTCAATTAAGCACGGCCCATGGAGGTACGCATATGCGGATACTTGAACGAGAACAAGATCCGGTTGCTGGAGGAGACGGAGCGGTGATCTGCGGGCAGTATTTTGCGGCTCAGCAGAGGTGGTCCAGGCATAGCATGACGAAATCTGTGGGGTGGAAGCTGTCTGGAAACGGTCAAGAGAGCCGTTGCAGCCAATTGATGGACGCCACGCACGGGCCGGTGTTTGTTTTGAGGGTTCCAACCAAACAAGTTCTCCTCCTTAATGGTCTGTTGGTGATGTCGCTGCACTCGCCGTCGCTGGGCCCGTCGTCGCCGTCGCCGTCATCCTCCACTTCAGGCTACCCTGGTGAGCACCCATTAGGGCCTAACTTTTCATGGAGAATGACTGGCCCAAGGGGGGGGGTTTCTGAGTGGGGCCCCCACTCGCATGGGATGTCCCATTTGTCTTGGCGTTTACTATGTGGGGGCTCCCACCCATCAATACTGGGATGTCCCAGCCCGCTGAAGGCGGGCCCGAAAAATTTACCTGGGACATCCCACAGCGTCTGGGACATCCCATTTGTGTCACGTCACACAGGGGTGGCTGGGGTCCTTCCCACCCAAAAAAAAAAAAATCTCTGCGTACCCCTGCATACATTCTGGGTCATGCCTCTTGGTTGCATGGGTGCACCAGCGTTATGCATCAGGCGATGCAGCATGCGTACCCACCAGGGTATTCAAAATACCCACGCTTCACTGTGTATGTATTCCCCAGTGCTATCGAAAAAGTTTCAGATTCTTTTATATATGTATCCTTTCATTATGCACATATTCCCCAGCGTTATTGAAAAAGTTGCCAGTGTTTTCGATTCTTTTGTATATGTATCCCTTCACTGTATACAATGGAAAAAAATTCCTGTGATTTGATTTTTTTCCCCTCATATACCTATTCCTTTATTGTGCGCATACTTCTTAGCGTTATTGAAAAAAACTCCAGTGGTTTGGATCTTTTAATATATGCATCCTTCCAGTGTGCGTACTTGCTCCCAGTGTTTTGTATCCTTTTAATTAAATCTATGTATCCCTACTGGTGTGCTCTCCCTGCAATTTTATTCAAAACATCAACACCATCCTACCGAGGTGCTCATTTGTGGTGCATAGGCAACTTATCAATGTGTTACCTCCAATACAGTTACCTCCAATTATCCTAATCTATCTTACGGCTCAAATATTCTCAGGCGAGGGACGTCCCACCTCAATTTCTCTGACGGTGGGACATCCCACCTCAATTTCTCTGATGGTGGGACATCCCACCTCAAATGTTCTCAGGCGAGGGACATCCCACCTCAATTTCTCTGATGGTGGGACATCCCACCTCAAATGTTCTCAGGCGAGGGACATCCCACCTCAATTTCTCTGATGGTGGGACATCCCACCTCAAATGTTCTCAGGCGAGGGACATCCCACCTCAATTTCTCTGACGGTGGGACATCCCACCTCGATTTCGGTGACGGTGGGACATCCCACCTCAAATTTTCTCAGGCGAGGGATATCCCACCTAAATTTCTCTGACGGTGGGACGTCCCACCTCAAATTTTCTCAGACGAGGGACATCCCACCTCAATTTCTCTGATAGTGGGACCTCCCACCTCAATTTCTCTGACGGTGGGACATCCCACTTCAAATATTCTCAGGTCAGGGACATCCCACCTCAATTTCTCTGACGGTGGGACGTCCCACCTCAAATGTTCTCAGGCGAGGGACGTCCCACCTCAATTTCTCTGACAGTGGGACATCCCACCCTAATTTTCTCCACCGTGGGACATCCCAACTTGAATCTTACCAGCCAGGGACATCCCACCTTCACATCCTAACTTTGACTTCTTTTTTCAAACATTCAGCGATATAAAACATTGACTTGCCTTGCATTTAATGCGTTCAAATCACGACCCATCACTCATCACACAAACTCAGTCAAACAACCGCTATCGTCTCAATGAGGCAATTAAGAGGATCAAATATATTAAGTCCATTTCCACTGCCCAACAAAAAAACCAAACTTGACCTTTACCATTCTGACCAACCTGACTTTGCACTTACCCTGCATGGACTTGTTTGTTCCCAGTTTTGGTGTTCGGAGATGGATAGGATATCGGCCGACATCGCCGATCACACAAGCACGGCCAAACAACCGCTATCGTCTGGATCAGGAAATTAACAACTTCAAATTTTTTTCAAGTCCCTTGACCCCACTACGAACAAGGCAAACAAGTTCCATTATATAAATATAAATTGTAAGGATGGATTTCCCAGCGTCACTAAACGTCTAAGTACAACTACTTATTCTGACACAACTTCTGATATGCGTTCCAGGCGCTCCTCTTAGTGGCACGCTTTGCAAGATACGAATCGTAAGCGCGTGCTAAAAGTCAGTTAGCCATTTGGAAAAAAGAAACAAAGCCCAAGAACCACAACAAACTTACTATCCACGAACCAGTGTTCCCCGACTTCCCCATCGGCAGCAGCCAACGCAAACCGCTTAGCACGAGCAACAGCGAGCAAGCCGACCCAGACGGGATCAACGAACTCGCCATCGGCCAGCGACGCAGGATGAGCAGCGGCGGCCATAGCTGCACGCGACGCAGTGCAACTCTGCGCGATGTACTGGGTGATGAGGGCGATCTCGGCGCGCGCTGTAGGTCTGTCAGATTAAAAAGGCAACTCAACGCGAAAGCATAACTTACCGAGAGAGGGCATAACCACGGGCAAAACCAACCAGTGCTCCCCGACTTCCCCATCGGGGGCGGCCAACGCAACCGCTTAGCACGAGCAACAAAGAGCAAGTCGACCCAGACGCGGTCAACGAACTCATCGGTCAGCGACGCAGGGTGAGCAGCGGCGGGCGTAGCTGCACGATGTCAGCTCTGCATCAAATAAGTATAAGACAAGACTTACATTCAGTGGCACTTCCGACGGGTGCTTTCGACCCAGACATCGCGGGCCGGCGGTGGTGTATCTTCCTATCGAACGGGGAAGTAGGCAGGCGTGGAAGAGTTTTGAGGGAGCGGCAGGCTTTCGCAGAGGAAGACATCATAGGAATGTGAATGAGGGCTGTTGGCAATGAGGACATACCGACAAGAAGCGTCCACCTTTATAGCTTCAACTCAAGCCACCATGGCGCCCAAAGTGGCATTCCCAAAGCGGCATCCCAGGCCACCACATCCAACAATGCACGTTCATGCCTAAAGTCCCACATTTGGACGAACAATACATTAGTTTTCATTAGTGCAGCTCTGCAACATCACGCACTCTTCGCGCTCAAGGCGTTATCCTAATTTTGTGTTTAATAATAGCCTTAGTTCTTCGTTGGGTACATGTACAACATCGTATTGGGTACATGTAAAACAATATCTACGTATCTACTTGATTAAAAGCCGCAGCCGTAAAACAACGACGTCGAGATGGTCTTTGTCGGCGGTACCGGTAGCTTCGCACGCTTGAAAGCGTCTCTTTGCATCTCCATAGCCTGCTCGTAATAAATGTGGCCTGGAAAAAAACATCATTTCAGCGAGTCCCG